AAACTCGAGTCGAGGACAAAGAAATGAATACAGATCAAATGAACCACCAGGCAAGATTGTAAAGGCATAGAAAAAAACGGGGATCATTACAATGAGGGTTTAGCAGAGACGGGGGAGTTGCAGGGTGCATGGTAAACTGTTATTTGTGGAGAAATTAAAGGAAAAAATGGTCCATATTCTACACAAGAAGTGGTCGCCGCTGATGCCATCATCATCCCCCCACCAATTCCATGTTCTTTACAAGACGAAAATTACAGCCTGGTTGGCAAACCAGTGAGGCAATAAATATTTATTGGTGAGACAATTAAGGGATACTCGAGCAGTGCCAGTTTTGATTTCCAACCAGCCAGCCAACGTACATGCACGGCGGACAGAATTAGTTGTTCAGCATCATCAACGGGTGCTTACTAATTATCATTAGGGTCCTTTTAAGGAAAAACTGGGAGAATCATCCATATCCATCACATGCAAGTTGCATGATGTAACGATTACCTATGCGCAACAAAACTACACAAATGAACGTAACTATCGCTCATCAAAAAGTGTAGTAATAATCCACCATCCTGCATGCTGGATGGTGGATCGTCCGAATATAATCATTCATTTTTATTGCCATCACAATTCAACTTATCATCTTTAAATGTCTATAATTTTCTTCGTGACATCTATGGCTTCCAAAAATGTACAAGTTGCTCGTAAAATCATGATTTTCTCCTCAAATGATTACCTCATTTGTAAGGGCTATTTTATTTCTACTTTTATGTTTACTGTAGTTTATCCAATTGTCGCAAAAAGCATCGGTTACTCACTGCTTTTCAGATCGAGGCACAATTAATAGAAAATTTGAAGTATTTATAACTATTGCAATTCTAATATAGTTTTAAGAACTTTCATTTTATTGTTCTTTTAATCGTGTAGTAACAAAGCTAATTTCATCTCATTTCTATACTAAATTTAAGATCAAATTTCCAAGTTCAAGTACATGTATTACAGAAGAAATTAGACCCCATCAGTAAATTTGTCACGAGCATATCTGCCCAAGATAAAGCTGTAATACACACAAGTAGTGGTAGCAAAATTGAGAATATATGACACACAACCCTGCGAATCCATATATGCATATCTTTTCCAGTCGGATGGACGAGCAGGATGACGAGCCGCTGGAGGAGAGATAAAGGAGATGAGAGCTATATATATTCGAATGAATTTGCAACTTTCTGTAAATGACGGTTGCTTTTAATTAGACAGGGCGAGTAGGTAACATGCCCAACATTGGGACGGGATACAAAGGAGTTTCTTTAATTTAAATCGTCTGATCACTCCCAACATTTCCTCTCATTTCATTGAAACTTTTCTCTCTCAAGACTCGTCCGCTATCTGCTCGTTGGACGGTATAAATATACTCGCCCCGTTGGCAGAGAGAGACCAACTTGTTTTGTACGTCTTCTCGGTAAGCTCAAGTTATTTGACGGGAAAAGACAGCAGCCGCGCTTGTGTTGGCTATAGGGCTTGTGATTTGTGGGGCATTTGAGTAGATTGTGAAGGATTGAGGGAGCCGGGGAAAGTTGACCCGCATGGTGAAAAGGGTTAAAAAGAAAGTCGTGGATGCTGCTGGTATGGACGGGATGGTGGTGGTGGTGGTGTGTGTGTGTGTGAATTGGAGTCAGCAGAGTGCTGGCAGAGGAATAATAAGCGTATATGTACGAGAAGAAGAAGACCAAGAAGAAGGCCAACTACGGGAAAGGATGTCTTTTGATCTCGAATCTCAACTCTTTGTGAAAGTCTAGTTTTCTCCTCTGCTTGAAGAAGAATAAGCCATGCAGCCATGGATCTGATGTGAAAATTCATTAAAATAAAAAGATATATCTTTTGATTACAATCCTCTTTTCCGTCCTTTTAATTCCTAATTTCTCCATCCTCCTCACTCACTCAGTCATTCACGTTGAAAAAACTTCATCAATCCCAGAGTAATCCCCCGCTACTACTATTTCTTTCCACTACCCGGCCTGCCTGCCTGCCTGCCGCGCTATTTATCCGTCTCTTTCACTAATCAAATTATTTGTGCCACCATTCTTTCACTCATTTCTTCTCTTTCTTTCTTTCTCCTTCTTCTTCAGGTCATCCCACCAGTTTCCAAGTATTTAATTTATAATGCAATCACTTTAGAAGCAAAAGTCACCACTCATCACACACTAAGTCAACCAAACCTGAGGATTTATGTGTTTGGCAACAGTTGTGTCAACTGCTCAATGTCTTGATATACTTACTCTTCAAGTTTTAAACATTTCTTGTTGTACACAGCCAACAAGTCACTCTGTTTCCTTTCCACTATATTTTCTACCTTTTGCTGCTGCTCTTATTCTCTGGCAACGTCATGGCCTGCGCCGCCTTATCTGCTCAGCCTTCAGATAATTTAATCAGGTTCATGGGAAGAACCAACATTTTTCAGACTTCTTCTTCTTCTTCCCACTTATCCCAATGCCAAACCATTTTCATTTTTAATCTTTCCCATCTCATTCATTAAGGAGCAGCGAGAGTCGGGATTTTCATCCTCGTAATTCAATCAACTCTCTCTCAAAATTTCTCAAATCCCAGCAGTTTTAATATCACTTCCCATTAAAACATATCCAACCACGGCGAGTTGTGTAATATATTTAGGTATCTAAAGAGCAAATGCCACGCGGAGGGTTCGCACAATACGTACAACGCCACACTCTTTTGGTCAGAATTAGACCACCGGATGCCAAAAAGTCCCCAACAACATGTAATAATAACGAAATAACAATAACTGTGAAGACAAGAGAGCTATGAGTATAACCGAGTCGACGGTATATGTGACGGGAGAGCAGTTAGTGGAGCCTCCGACTTTTGGAGTCGAGTGATGAACGACAAATCAAATTAACGAGAGACAGAGATGCATTTGCTATTTCCCATGAAAGAATCGGAATGTCAAATGTAGGAGAGAATCGTACATATTCAGATATTTATGTGTCGGGATTTTCAGCCGAGGAATGAAAGCAGACAAAAAGATCGACTAGAAATTAATTCGACAAGGAAATTCCATTGTCAATCATTCATTGAGAAGGGATGAAAACGGAGGAGAGAATCCGAATCCGTGGCTTCAATGTCTTTTCTTGACATCCAATGCAAACCATGTCATTCTGAAGATAAAACATGCATTCACATTATTGCTCTCTCTCTCTTTTCCATGTCTCTGCATTATGGTGGCTACCGAACCACACAGAGCAAATCCACTCCAGGCGATATAATACATCTACGAACGAACATATTTAGTAAGGAACACCAAAGTTGAACAACCAACTCTCAGTTTCTTCTTCAAGCTTTCCTTCTCGTCTCACAATCAGATCACAGCCTCAACTTTGCCATTCATTATTAATGCACTGCTTCTTAACATCCGGTCTACTCGGCAAAGCAGTCTTCTATGGTTCAAATTGTGTAGAATCTTTGGACAAATCGGAGCGATGGCAGTTTCATTTTTACTTTCTTCCCCTATAAGAAGCTACCCTGAGAGGTGGATGCCTTATGTATCCGTGGATAAGTACATGCACCAATTAGAGTGGAGGACAAATGGTCATTTCAATTTACTTTGTCAAAGACTGCAAGTTAAGGAGAAAAAGAGTGAAAAATCGCATGTACAAGAACAACAACCAAATAGCAGGGATTCCTCGAGAGAGATGCAGCATTATTAGCAGCCGGGTGATAGACTGTCAGTCAGAGTCAGTGTGCAAGAAGAACCGACCGTGGGAACCACCATAGGATTCCACCAACCATCACCTATGCCATGTATTCCATCATCTCATCTTCTCCTCGCTCGCCTGCTACTCGTCGTCGTCGTATTCCCCCAATCCGTCTGCATATTGTTATTATTTGTCATTATATTGCCGTGTGGAAACAAGGAGAAAAAACAAAAGGCGAGTTAAATAACGACATTTTTAGCGTTATCCTCTCCTCCTTGTCAAGCTAATGGTGGAGCAAATGGTGCGTTGTGAATGGTCAACTGAGTGTCACAAATTGGTGACGAGATGGGAAAAGACAGTGGTTGATTGTTCTTCTCTTGTTGGGAAGATAGATATTAGCAGAAAATAACAAAAGCATATTAGCAGAGATACACACATGTACACGGCTCCTTATCCTTCCGGGTGGGACTCTCACTCTTGGACTTATTAGCAGTTTTCGTGGTGGTGTTGGTGTTTGTGGCATGGACACTTTTTTCTTCTCGTGTTGTTGTTGTTGGAAGGAGGAGACGGGAAAAAGATGTGATGATTAAGACTGCCCAAGCTCTACTACATGCTCTCCAAGCTTGTCCAGAGAAAGAGAAATAGGCAAAAACAGAGGAATGGACAAGTGAAAAAATTGAGGGGTTCTGGAGTTCTCTCAAAAGAAAAATTAATCGCTCCCGTCATTCATCTTATTTCGGAAATTTTTCTTGTAGAACGGTGTCATTTTTGAGTGATAACTCTGCACATTTCTCTCTTTGATCTTCTTCCCTCGTGTGGAGTTCTCACATTGTGGACATACGTACGTACATGGTCAAGGATGAGGAGATGGAATCAAGTGGTCCACTGAAGAAATTATGTGCAAGCCATACAGAAGTATATCCAGCCAGACGAGTATGAGCACGAGATGAGACGACGTAACAACTTATTATTACTCATTATTCCCTATCTCTACTGGTTTTGAGAGTGAAAACGTCTTTTCCATTCGACACATAACAATAATAATGGTTTGCTTGCTTGGTAGCTGATCCAGAATAATAGCGGGAGCATTGTAGCGTGAATCCTCCTCGGTACATGGATAAACAATATTCCACACACTTATGACCTGCCTGATGGTTGGGCATCATCAATACGTTTTCCACTGCTGTATGAGAGTCATCCTCATAACAAATGCATGCACATTATTTACTTTGACATATTCAATTGTTACATCTGCCGACATCTCATTTGCCACTCGGCCCATTAGCTAAGACAACAATGCTTCTGAGGTAAACTGGTTGTAATTATGAGAGAATATTACAAATCAGAGGCATCCTCATCCTCATCATATTTGGTTGGTTGGCCCGAATTCTTTATTTCTTTTTCCTACCACCGGACCAAGACGACGACGACTCGCAGTACTCTTATTATTGATAGATTTCTCTCATTTTAACGAGATTGGATGCCGACTCATCGTCAAATAAAAGCCATCCATCTATCCAGAGGCAGCAGCAGATGAGTTATACGAGAGTGTTCCGTCAAAGTCAGCTCCATACGTTGTGTGTTGCCTGCGCTTGTTGTGGATAAAGTAAAGGATCGTTGCTCGTGAGTCTGTACATACACATACTTCATTACACAATCCATAACAGTCAGTCCATTTCTTGGAGAAAAAATCGGGAGCTACACGGCTAATGACTAATGGAAGTTACTGCTTATTATTTCTCTGATAATGATTTATTACGCTTAATTTCGACGACTCTTCGTCTTTCAATCCCCATGCCACGTCTTCCTCCTTACTTAATCACACCTGAGACATTAGCATGGGAAACTGGGCCCGCAAGCGATTGGGAAGAAATTGAAGGAGTTTCCGTCATTAGGACTCTGTCCGTCTCGTCGAGAGCATATACCTCGTCAAGCGTTGCTTGGTGGTTCCTTCGTGGGGCACAAGTTTCGAAGGCATCGGGGCCAAAAAATGACAGCGAGTGTGACAGAGGTATTCACTTCTGCTGCTTCTGGCCGTATCAAGAGCAGTGGAAATAATTTTGAGGCTGCATTGTAATGTTTATCTCGGAGTGAGATGAGATATCGCCGAAAGTAATTTAGCTCCTGCTCTCCTTCTCGACTCGTATGCATCACTGCGACTCTGAGCTGCTTTGATTTCACGGGTTTGATGGCACACAAGTTTAAAGGTTATAAGTTTTAGGGTATTATGCTGATGGAGATGGAGGCATAGGAGGATGACTATCAGTCGTCGTATATATTTCTTGAAGTGAGTGTCTCTCACGTCCGAGGAAATAATAAGTGAAGAGTTGTCGACAAAGTAAAGCAAACAAGAAGTAAATTTGGAATGAGGAGGCAAAGCATAAGAAATGGAGAAGAAGCCCAACGGCCACAAGACTCATGTCTCTCCTCAGAGAAGATGATCACCCTGTGCCGTCTCTGATTCCTCCTTCTCAACCCAGTGCATGTTAAGTGGAAATAAGTCGCGGAAATCAAAGATTAGAATTGAGAATATCAGGCAGAGAGCGAAGGAAGGAGTAAATCAAGAGGAGAGAAAGTCCTTGGTCGGGTGACTTCTGAAGAAGAGAGAGAGAGAGAGGAGGAGGAGGGGAGTGGGTTGGTCGGGTTGGTTGGTGAGTTGGCTGTGTGATCATCATCTCCTTCGGAAAAAGAGCCACATGCATAACTTTGGGAAATATATGAATATTTATATATTTCCCCTCAAGAATGATAGTGGGATGCAATTAAGTAGAAATGTGAACATAAAATGACGGAGTTGGATCGTCCATGCTGGATGTGTAAATCATGGAATAGAGTTCTTTTACTAAGTCATGATGAAAATCAATCCTTCATTCCGAGGTAATGTCAATGACCCGTGTCGATGAACTTTTGTTTTCTCTTTGCTCTCTCTACACAGCTCTTTCTTTTCTCATTCTCATTTCCACGCTTTTACATTTTAATGCTTCCAACTGATTATTGTAAATAATTATAAATAATTGCATTGTAGTGATTAAGGTTTAGTAATGGATAAGTTTAAAAAAGTGACGCTGGTTGAAAAATTTAGCAAGACAGAAGAAGAAAAGAGCAAAGAAAAGGATTTCAAGTACGTGTGCAACGGGGGTGGAGAAGGGGTGTGTATCAGTAAGAGGGGTGTTTTTAAATCCAATGATGAAGCTCGTTTTGGCAGCCATATTTCAAAAGTACATAAGTCAGAAGCTGAAATATTAAAGGATGAACCATGGAGAAAAAAATACAACAAAGAACAAGAAGATCGAGATGAAGAAAAAGAATTCATTTATGTGTGTAATGGAGGTGAAAATGGTAGTTGTAGGTCCAACTTCATGACAAATGTGGCAGCAGATTTTAGTTCTCACATTTCTACTATGCATAATGTCTCTAATCAACAGTAAGTTTGTACAAACAAAATAAGATTAAGAAAGCTTGCTAGTATTGATTTGTAATAAAATCAAGTTTAAAACAATGTCCTCTGATGCCGTAGAAGAAGTTATTAATAAAATAAGATTATGGTAATAATCTAGCCAACTTACACTGAATTTGTACATAATAATTGATGTTTCAGGAAAATGAAGAAGTTAGCAGTAGATCGAAAGAATAACCAACAATACCGAGCCAATAGCAATGTCACTGCCAACAACACGTTGAAGATTGCGGAGGGAGAACCCCTTCTCGAAATTGAAACTGAGACGAGTGATGATGATGAGGAAAGTCCATCATATTTGGAATTTAATCCTATTTTGGAAAGTATGAAGGCCGAAGAGCAAGAAGAATTCGTTCCTTACCATGCTTCGCTATTTGTATTATACTACCCCGAAGGGAAAGTTGACAGGGGACCGATGGAAACTTACCAATTGGAAGATATGCTTCTCAAGATGAACAAAGGTTTGGGAATAATAGATGAACTGCCTTTCAAAATGTATCTCTACTTCGCTACATCATTAATGAAAACATGTATCCATCTCTCAAATGTAAAAACCATAACTTCACAATCTCGTGTAGTCGACTTGATGAATGATGGAGCAGTTTGCTATCGACAGGCATGTCAACTTTTACTATTCTCAAATTAGTCTCAAATTTCCCAATAAGCAAATATTATGCACTTTCTCTTTTTTAGGATTACATATTCAGTGAAGGAACTACGCAAGAGAATAGAGAAAAAGCTTTCGAATGGCAACAGTACTGGAAGGTGAGGGTGCGTCCATTTATAATCTATGCTAATTTAAACTATTGTGTACTATTACAGTACGTAAACCAGATGAGAAAACGAGTGAAAGTGGATCCATACTCTGTTGAAATCGAGATCCTGAATTGTGGAACTATGAGGAAAGTTGGATACAAGAAGAAAATAAGTCGTCTTAATTTCCACAAAGCACGACGCTTTGCTACTCAAAACAGGAGCTTTTTTCCTCTGCCGCATCATCTTTTACCAAAAAACCAAAACCCAACGTGGAAAAAATACATCCTTTCAACCACCAATTGTTAAAATATTCTATGCTAATCCTGTAATTCTATGTTCTTTAACTTAATATTTTTTCAGACTTTTGTGAAATAGTTTAGCATATTGGCATATCTTTTTGTAATAAATTTTACAATTTGGTATATTTATGTATGATTACTAATAATGTTAGCAATAGGTTACCCACAATACATGCTAAAGTAAGTTTAGCAGAGAAGCGCATCTCTATGCCATGGGCCATGGGCGCTCTAATGTTCTTTCCCTCTCTCTTTCTCTTCATCTATTTTCTACAATTCCCTTTTAGATTCGGCAATCATATGCATCGTTATGTGACGAAAAGTTCCACAACACTCAAAACTGTGACCAACCAGCCAGCATCATAGGACGCACAGGGGCTGCCATAACCAAACCAGTGGAGGAGTATAGATAGATAATGGTTCTGCTGTTGCTGGATGTATCGTCTTTTCGTAGTCCGTACTAAAATAAGAAGTTCTCTCTCCACTCGGCGATGATTTTTAGCTATCTCTAATCTCACTCCCACCAAACTTTCCCCGATCCATCGCCACCGCTCTCCTGTGTTCTTCTCCTATTATGCAACATCCCAACGGCTCTCTGTCATTCTCCCTCCGCAATAAGAATCGCCCAATCGTCCGGCTTAAACTCATCTCATCCTCTCGCAGACTCTAAATTATCAATACATTTCATCCACCAAGGACCAGGACGACTCTTTCTCGATGAACTTCTCCCTCGCTTTTCCCATAAGACTAAAAATTATTGTTTTCCACGCTCTTCCATCCTCTCCTTTTCCTCCACAATCTTTGTATTTCTCTAATGTTCCATACTTTCCCACTAATGCTAATTGCACATCCACCACCATCACCAAAGTTCATTCGTCCCTTCACAGATTATATAAAAATTATCCTCGCTGCTCCTTTCTCTCTTTCTCCTGAATAATGTTAATGAAACACAAACCTCCCTTTATCGCATTCGGCTCATCTTCTTAACCTCTTTTCCTCACAATGGAGGCGTCGTGAGAGAGAGAGGGAGGCTACACTGCCTCCGATTAAACCCTTTTTCCTTATCTGGAACGACTATGTGCAACCACTTTCATAGATAATGAAGTCTGCCGTAAATATGAAAAAGGAGAGAAAGTTGAGATAAAATGAGACAAAAACTTACAGAATTGGTTGAAAGGCGTTGATAAAAGGAGAAGGAGCAAAGTAGTTGATGGTGACTGGATAGCAGTACATCCGTCCCTCATTGGCATCAGGAGGAAAGACGTCGACATGGAAAGTTGTTCATGGTTGATTGTTCGTCTTCTTACTGGCTGCAATTCAAGGAAAAAAATGGTTAAGAATGGGAAAAAATGACGAGTTTTATATTATTATCTTGAGGCTGAAAAAGTGTCGACCGGTCGTCGATTGGTATTATTGTGTAGCCACAAATAATAAATGGAAAAGGAGGAGGAAGACGTGATCTCGTCACAGTATTGAGCGCATGATGCATGCAATTGGAGGCTAATCCAATAAGGCAGCTAAATCACCATGAAACAATGGAATCCTCCATATAAAATTGGTAATTGATCGGAAATTGCATTTGTTATGCACGGATGTCCAAGAATTGAGAGAAGAGAGAGGGTCGCTCTTTCAGACAGGGAATTAGGGAAGGAAAAGTAAAGTGGATATAAATGCAGGCTGACTGTTCTTTTCGTTATTGTACCACCACCACAACCGCATTGTCTTGTTGTCACACCCCACGAAAGAAACGGATCACCTTCCAAATCAACCGCAAGACATTTGCTGTGAAAGGCAGCCGAAGTACAATTTAAATCATTGTGCACGCATCAATGACTTTTCATGTGGTTTCTATTTTTTGTCGTCCACCCCAACAAATCAACCTCCTCTCTGGCTCTTGGCCCATCAAAATTCTTGATAAATCATCCGATCAAACGCCAACTGGATGATTTAACGTTCAGATTTTATTCATATTTCGATTTTCAGGAATCTCCTACGAATTAAATATCGTAAATGTCGTAAACCTAATCAATAATTGACTTGTCAATTATTATGATAACCAATTATTTCTATACTTTATCGATATATCCGCAGACAAAGAACTATGGATTCACATCATTTACCCGAAATTTCAGATGATGGATACGATTGAGGGGTTGGTAATTGGGGGTCATTAAATGTCCATTTGGATGCATGGCAAAATTATTGATATCTACCCATCAATTATTGACTCGTGGCCATGCAGATGGAGATGAATGGAGGAGGTTGTACTTGAAGTGAGTGCGGAATGATTTAAAAGGAAAAAGATGGACAAATCACTGCAATCATTATCTTAATCGGCAATCGGGTGGCAAAAAACTACAAAAAAGCTGCATTCTCTCTCTCTCTTTTTCTCGATCAGTGGTCTTGACTGAACGAAAAGCAAGTTGTTTTGTGGAGTAAAACCGTTCGAGAAATCAGAGGGATGGATGGAGTTTAGTCAGACTTCTCCCTTTTCCAGCGATTGTGGTTCACAACCTCACGAACGTGTCATTATTTTATTTCATAAGGCGGAAGGCAGCACAAGACCGATCATCCAACGTGTGCTTGTCATGCACCACCCGAAACTATCAGCACTTCTCTATCATTAACCCGCGGAGTGAGAGAGAGAGATCATGCAAAACTTGACTTTTGACATCACTCCTCCACCCACGACGAGGAGTCCGACGAGACGATGCCTGTTTAGCAGCTATCAATAGCCTACCTCGTTTTTTTCCAAAAAAAGAGGCAAGAGAGAGAGACATAAAATCACAACTATGTATGTACCAAACTGCAATGAAGATCCCCAGATAGTTGGATGGATGGGCAAGCCCCACAATAAAAAGCAACAGATGAACATTGATAATTATTCCAAAACTATGTAAAGAGATAATAGCCCGGATACAACTTCATACCCAATTCCATTCTGGATACGTATTAAACAAACCTTGTAAATCAGACATCCGCTCAATAGGATCCGATAAAATCAAGAGTTATCGCCCCAGATAAGAGGAGAGAAAATATACGACTTGTGCCTAAAAGTATGTAGATATCTATGCATGCAAACTGTGGGGCCAACTAATAAACGATGGAAAAATGGAAAACCGGTTAGCGTCCATCTCCAAATGTATAACGGCCGTGATTGCCTATTGAGTCCCCATTTTGGAATATGACAAGTAATAAGTGATTCCTCGAGTTGGAGTGGTGCCTACAGTCTTACCTCCCAATACTTAATCGCCGAGAGAAGAGAGACAATAAATAATTGTGCCCTTATGAGATGAATTTGTGAGAAAGCGGATGGGTCGAGATGTCCTCCGTGATAGTGACGATGATGGTTAATAGTTAATTGTTAATGCATCCAGTGTTCCTGGCCTCGTCGTCCATCCACTGCTGCGTTGGATGGCTCAGGTTCTTTAAATTTGAGCAGGGTGGCAATAATTTTGAGTCTCAACCCCCATGTGCAGGTAAACCATTATTACAAATATGTGCAGGTTTGGTTTCCCAATAACAATAAAGTTGACCAGACATCTGTCCCGATAAGAAGGAAGATTGTGGTCTACAGAGTTTTATTTCCAAATATATAAATCAACTGAAGGGGGTTCACTCTCCTGGATGTAATAGTAATAAGGGAACATAAACCTCTAAAAAATGTCCCTCTTCTGTCCTCCTCTCCTCACTCGGTCGCTCGGGTTGAGAAGGTGGATGTGAGGAAAAAATAATCTCAAGCCAATGAAAGTGTATTGTCAATAGAAGTCGATTTCTGGTCAATCAATCTTGTCCTAAAAATGGTAGGGATTAGAAAATCGGGCATTTTCTCAATGCACTCAACCGCTCTATAGACATTTCTTGTACGTAAGTATCCAGCCCTGCTGGTTTAGCTCGTCCTCGATCAAAACCTCAACGCTAAACTGCTTAACTCGTTCTCGTCGGAATCCAACCTTTCCATTCCACTCATTGTTGTCCAACTCCAATCCAATATAATATGTATATTTTATCGTGAATAAATCTGGCCCGAAATCAAATCCAGTTCCTTTGAGCCAAGGCAATAAATAAGTTTTACTCTCCGCAGATACATTACAAGGAAGAAAAAAAATGGTTCTGTGTAGAGGACAATTTAGCCTCCCCCTTGGAATTCATATTTTTGTACGTATGTGGAAGTGCTTTCCTTATTGATGGTCGTCGTTGTACCCTGCACAAATCCATTGTGCTCTTTGTCAAATAATTTTAAGGCTTCAATATCGAAAGCCTTAAAATGATACCACTCACGACACACAGAACTCTCTTTCCACAACTTTGACTTAAACTCTTTTTTTCTCTCTGTGCCAGAGTAATCCCCAATCCGCTCTTTTCCTCCTCTTTCTTACGTACCACTCTTAAAACATTCTCTAATCATCACAGATTATATTACTGGCCAGGAGAGAGAGACGAAGAATTATGTAGAAGAGGACGAACCATTAGACCCACCAAGCAATGCAGCACCACCACTGCTATTTATACACCATCACAGAGGAAGGAATAGCATCTGTTTGATTGAACATGTCATTGCCATTATCGTTTTTTATGGATTTAATAGCCCTACTCAAAATATTTTACGTTATTATTATTCTCCCAGTTTCATCACTCATTTATTATCTCGCAACGTATTATACCCCATCAGCAGACAGACAACCATCCAACAAACCAACCCACCAGTCACAATCAAATCGACCGTTTCGCAGAATAGAATTGTCCCATTTCTTCGGTTTCATTCATTCATTCACATCTCTATATATGTATGCATGGATTTTCGAATATCCTGCCTGCCCGAGTAATTATTGGCATCCCATGGACGTAGCTAGCTGCACTTTTTGATTTTTTTTATCCACCAGACCCACTCAATGGAGACCCATGCAGAGTCGAACCCAAAAACATAACCACCATATTTATAACCCGTCAACCCAAAGCCGATCATCAAATGCGTGCCTTTTTTTCATTCAATCCATTACTTGACACAATGGATGGTTCTCTCATCCGATGGCCTCCAGAGGACATATCTCTGGGATGATGACACCTAAATATTCTCGCACACCGGAA